CAAGTGACTGGAGAGCCAGAAGTATGCTGGAACCCAAACCCAGAGCCATCAAGTATGCTACAGCCTCAACCAGAGTTTCCACAGCACACCCACAATCACACTGGTAAGCACACTTACAAAACACAAAACAAATTCAAGCAAACAGGTCAACACCTCAGCATGAATAAGAATGAACCTGCTACAGAGGTTACTTCTGAACCTCCCTGCATGTTCCACCTCACTGCTCTCCCAACCCCTTTGGCGTTTACGCCTGCCCAGCTGATAACTACCTGTGGCCATGCCTGCAGTTGTCAAAACACTGCAAAAAGATAAAACGCCTCACAGGGGTTTGAATACCTGCCAAAAGTAAACCCTTCCTTTCCCCACTGCCATTCATGACAAGATTTTCAAGATAATTTGGTGCTTTATTGTCCATCTACCATCTGTCTATTAATACATGTTAATACCTATTATCCATCTGTCTAAGTGGCCATGTGGATCCTGAACTGCTAAACAAGTCATACTCAAGAATGAACAGCAGCCCACACCATCTAGAAACTACCCATCCCTGTATCAATTTTGGTACAAAATACTCTATCTAGGTGTTCTCTGATATCCATGCTTTAAACAAACAGTGAGGACAGAGCTTTAGCTTTAAGTGCCACCCCTCCCCACCCAGCCTGAACATCTGAGGTAAAGCAGGATAGTCACAGGTCACTGTTGGTGTAGAAAACCACAGTTTTACACATGAGTAATTTCAAAAATTCCACTGGATATCTGAAATTATTACAGCAACAACCATGTATGTTTTTAAAGAGCTTGACAGAAACCTAACAAATCTGACTTTTGCTCCTGAAGAAAATTCTCTACTGTGATAAATCAACGTGAGGATACTTTAGCAAAATACTTTATCCTGTTTTCCCCATAGTGTTTACTAGCTTGAACAAGCTTTCTCCCCATTTGGTTTCTTTTGGTCTTATGCTTTCTTCCATAAATAGACAAACATTTGTGTTCATTTTTCCTCTCTGCTCCTGCCAGCACTATATCAAAGGCAGGAAAGCACATCACAAATAAATGCTTAAAATTATTACTGGAACAGTGTGAAAAACAGTTTCAGTTCAGTGAACAAAAAAGATGAAAAATTCATTTCAGGTCATCCCAAACTGAACACAGCCACCCGGGCCAGGAGGTTTATTCCTTTAGAGCTCCTTGGTTTTGCATTTTCAGCAATTTTTGTAAGTACACTCATAATGTTTATGTCAAGGCCATTAATGAACATATTAAAGAAGTCTGAAGCATAACCACTCCAATTTTTCCCTCATACATTCATTATCATAGAATGGTTTGGGTTGAAAAGGACCCTTTAAGGATCATCTAGTTCCAACTTCCTTACCACATGCAGGGAAACCTTCCACTAGACCAGAATGCCCAAAGCCCCACCCAACCTAGCCTTGAAAACTTCCAGGGATGGGGAAGCCACAGCTTCTCTGGGCAGCCTGTTCCAGTGCCTCACCACCCTCACAAGAAAGAACTTCTTCCTTATACCCAATTTAAATCTACCTTTTTTCAGTTTAAAAGCATTAGCCCTTGTCTCATCCCATTAAAGCATCTCTATGTTTTTGGCTGGACTGATCCACCAAACTAGCTCACCATGCAGCCAGAGGAGCATTACTGGTGGTGGAGGAAAAGGGTGGGGGCTTCCAAATATGTCCCATACTGGTAACACTACAAGTATCACTGCAAATCTAGTTCTGTATTTATTTTGTTTGTGTTTCCTCTGAATGCAAGCTGGGCTTGGATTTGCTTTTTCCCTTCCAGCAAGGTGAGAACAGGGATCCCTTGACAGGCTGCGAACCCACCATGCACTCCAGCCATTTCCTGCCCCAAAGCTGAAGGGAGGACAGTGTTTTCCAAGTTAGGGTCTGCTTTCCGTCTCTTCTGGTGCTTTGCCAAAACCAGTATAAGGCACGCAGCTCCGTACCAAGACTCGCACCCTGACACAGGCACCGCTTTCCCCGCTGTACAGGAGTGAGGCGAGGCAGGGGCTGCCCCCTGCCGGACACAGCCGGTTCTGCAGCGGCACCACGGCAGGGAGCGGCTGAGCCCCCCGCGGCGGAAAGGGATTTAAGGAAGGGAAAGTCGCTGCCCAGCAGAGAGGCAAAAAGCAGCCCTGTGGCACAGAGGTGGGGCGGGGGAAAGCAGTAGGTGAAGGTTCCGCTAGGCGCTGCGGCCCGCGGGGAGCCCACGGCGGCGAGTTGAACCGTACGCCCAGGAGCCACAGGGGCTTTTTAGCGCTGCCCGTGTCTGGGCACAGGAAGCGTTTGAGGACAGGAGCACTGAAACGAAGCTTCAAAGCTTTTATCAAGCTCTTACAGGAACTCTCTGATTTTGAGTGGTAAAACCAACGTACATTCAGCTAATATGTAAATGAGCTGCCGATCAAAATTGTGTATACGAATGCTGAATTTTCTTTCCTTCTTTTTTTTCCCCCTCCTTATCTCACAGGTAAATACCAGGAGATAGGTTCTTTGTGCCATTCACCTCAAGTTTCCACATACATATTAAGCTCGTGAATCAGGTAAGCCACACAGCTAACAGTTCTCATAAGAAAAAAAAAATATTAAAAGCAACATGTATTAACTCTTTCAGAATCACAAACCCTGCTTAAAGGACAACTGTACCATTAAAAAGGCTTGACAGTACCTACTGCACATTAAAAGTCTGTATTCCGCAGAAGAATGAGCTCCCACCTGACACCTAGCATTCTTACTATTAACCCTTAGGGGAAGGACATTGCACTTCATACTACTGAATTTCATTTCATTTCTATTACTATAATCAAGGTTATGCAATTCATCCTTTAGGGCATCTCAAGCCTTATTGACAATCTCTTAGCTTTGCATTTTCAGCAAATCATATAAGCATACTTTTATCTGTGCCAAGGTCATTAATAAAAGTATTAAACATAAATAATCCCAAAACCAATCTATGGGAAGCTCCATCAAAAAACTTGCTTTTGCCAGTTGCTGTGTCCCTATAACCAGCTGTCCTAGCTCCACCACATGCTAATGGCTCCTGAGGTCTCCAGCACTGCACCAACATTTGGCTTTCTCAGCCACAGATGTTTCCAATGGCTTCTTAGCTCATTGATCTGGGCTTACTATGCACCTGTAAGGTTATCAGGGCTGGCTATTGTATTATTTACATTCTGACTTTGATTAGGTCTTCCAGCAATTGCTACCTCAGTCCATGTGGGAACTAAGCTTACTTTCCCTGAACAGATAAAAAGTAAAAATGGTCGTCTCTGAAAATACTGAATTCCCTTCTTTGAACTTTGCTAGTCTTTATCTCACATTTTCTCTGACATTTGTTCAATTCCACTTAAAGTAATGAATACTTTAGGGGTTAAAAAAAAATAAATTTCTATTCAATAATTTTTAACATACCTCCACTGAGCTGATTCTTTACAACCAACTGAATTCTGAATCAGATAAATGCACACACAGTATATTAGAACAGATCTTCCTACAGAATTACAGTGAAATTGTTGTGGACCACAGCTATTACTACAGTGCTACAAGGGAACTTTGTCCTGCAAGGACACTCATAAAAAAAACTTATGATTTTTAGCTTCAGACAGAAAAAGCAGCAGATAAATTTATTGCTATCTGGATTTGCCGAGTCAGATCACAAACTATACTAGGAGCCCAAGCAGCAAATACTTGTGCCTGCTAAGTAGAAGTTGTCTTTCCTGTTTTCCTCAGTAATGAGGATGTTCTTCTGCCCTTTAAGTTAAAGGTGACAAGAATATTCTTAAGATGGATTGTGTACATGCATTGAAACTTCTAGATAGAGAATATTTAGCCAAAGTAGTAAAAAAAAAAGTCCAAGCTTTTTCAAAATAGGCCATCTTGATTTGGCTTTAGAGCTCTGAACTACAGAAAAAAATATCTGATTTTTAGACGATATTCCAGACCAGAAAAAAAGAATGTTAAAAAAAAAAAATCCTAAGACTACCTCTCATAGTCAAAGTGGACATAAAACTCACAGGCAGTTATATCACTTAGACACCACAAACATTTAAACAATGTCTTCTTATTTTAAGATTTGCTAAATTTCATTCTGAATTATCCAATACTTTAAAGTTAACATTATATTAAAGGTTAAAGCACACATTCTGTTGAGAAAGAATACTGAAATGGAAACTTTCTACTACAAAACTAAAGCAAAAGTTAGTTTTCAGTAGAGCTTGTGTTCAATTCTGTTATCTTTTTATATGGCCCAAAACCAAAAACCAGGCACCCTATTTCTTCAGCAGCTAGGTAATCTTCCTTGGTTTTTAAAAGCATTTTTCTCTGAGCTGAAAGCATCAAGTTCATAGTTGCTCTTCTTATCTTCCTTATCATAGACCTCTATAAGATATCATGGATAACTAAATTTTTCCTATTGCTTCTTAAATCTATCAATATTAGAGGCAGAAGCTTGGCTTAGCTACCAGAGACTATATTCCCCTATCATTGCATTTTCAAATAACACCCAACGTGCATAAGCTACATTTGCAGAATTGTAATCAGATACACGCTAAAAGTTACTTGCATAGTTGCACTTAAATTGGTTATTTTTATCCCTTTTCTAGTACAGTACCAAAAACCAAGGAATACCAACCAACCAAAACCTAAATATCATAATTACAATCTCCTTCCTGCCTGGTTTACACTACAGTAGCACTTACTGCAAGCAGGTGCACACTGTAAAACTTCACTCAAGTAGCTAGAGAAGATCTCACAAGAAAAACTGGATTGTCTAGGCTGCATTTTATTAGATTATCTTGCTTGAATGTAAACAAAAAATAAATGTAGAATATCTTTAGGAGAGCACAGACTGCAGGTTAAAAAAATATCTGAATCTGATCCTACATGCAGTAGTATGAATGCGTTACTTTCAGTGGTATCAGCTAAACCACAGCAAAGCATAACAGAATTTGAAAACCAAATTGCATCTTACGTACTTTTCTTTTGTACCTTAGATCACAAGAGCTTGCTCACAAACAGGTCAAACCCAGGCAGCAGCAAGCATCAGCAGATTTCCAAGGAAGTTTCTGGTACCAAGACAATTATGATGGAAGCTGGTTTCTTTACCATAAATTGCCTATTTACTATCAGCTAGACAGTTGTAAGTAGTAGAGACTGCATTGTAAACCTGCCTACTAGGAGAAAGTCCACCCTCACTGAAGAGGTCTAGAGTGGAATGGGAAAAGGCAGTATGCCCTTAGAAGGTTATATTGCATATTTTGCAAGGTGATCCTCATTAGCTAATTAAACTCATAATGTGAAACAAAGCAGCAGGTGATTTTCTGATGGGCACTTCCTGATTAGGTACAGATGGATACTGACTAGTAAAGCATGGTGCTAACACCTGAGTACTTCAAATGGTATGTAGTCAGAAGTTGACTGTTATTTTTATTGGTATGTGAACAGGGTGGAAGATAAATGTTTGTTGTCATGAAGTACATAGGTATTCTTTGCAAAGTACTCTTTTCAGTCACTTCTTAGACTGCCATTTGACAAATCAATGTATTTTTCAAAACACAGTCAAGTCTCCTAAACCTTAAATCATACTTTTTCTGCCAATAATCAATCACGGATAACAGGTTTAACCAAAAACTTAACTATCAGACAGATCTTGTAGCCACAACACTGAATTTTCAGTCACTAGTACTATTATTATCATTTGGCCACACATGGATTTTAACTATAATTTGTGGCCATCAGATTCTTTTTAACTGCTTAAACCAAAGTCTGTGCTCTGCACTGAAAATTAACCCAAGTGACCAAATTTAGCATGCTTCTTTTGGCAGTTTTAGGCTAATTGATTTGACCTTAATCTGTTTTATTTGTTCACTGTATAGCATAAAAGGGCAATGTTATTTTTCCATCTTTTAGAGCATGCTGGTGGAAGTTAATCAGGGAATCCCTCTAAATTACCAGGTAGAATTTACTTAGGAGCTTAAAGAGTAATTTTCTGAAAATAAATCATAGACTTACCATAGAATTACAGAATGGTTTGGGTTGGAAGAGACCTTAAAGATCATCCAATTCCAATTCACCTGCCATAGGCAGGGACACCTTTCACTAGACCAGGTTGCTCAAAGCCCCATCCAGCCTGGCCTTGAACAATGCCAGGGATGGGGCGTCCACAACTTCTCTCTGCAACTTGTTCCAGTGTCTCGCCACCCTCACACAGAAGAATTTCTTCCCAATACCTAAATTTACCCTCTTCCAGTTTAAAGACATTACCCCTTATCCTATCACTACATGCCCTTTTGAAAAGTGTCTCTCCAGCTTTTAGTTACACAATACAGAGAAAAAAAAAAATAAAATTTATATTTACATTAAGTTTTTCAATAAAATTCCAGAACTACAATTCCTTAAGAAAATATTTCACAAAGGTACTAGTTACAATGTGTTCCAATGCATTGAAATATTTTTAGCAGCTCTAAATCTGTTTGCACAATTTCCATAATTATATCAATAGAAAAAACCTCACACTTTTATTAGAAGAAATGACTTCCTTTTTTTTTAAGTCTATATGAAAGCAAATAGCAAATATATCCCCTTGTTGCCACAGTTACCAGGCTACTAAATTGCCCTTACAAACTTACTCTACAAAAATAAAATAGTTGCTTTTTCCCCTTGAACTGCTGCTTTGATGTGTGTTCAAAGGTGGGTGAACAAGTGGTCAGACTATTAAATGGTCTTGCCTGCTCCTTCTTTTTTAACACGGGATTGAACTACAGACACTTCTATAAAACAGCAAATGTTGTCCAGCATGGGAAGAAAGAAATGCTGCAGTAAACAGAGCAAAACCTTATCTTTCCAAGTGTTATTTCCTAAACTAACACATGTAAATCATTTCATGGATTAAGAGGCACACCCAAATACATGAAAAATAATTGAGCAACAAAAGCAAAGGGGCATAGCTGCCATTAAAGATTTATAGACTCTCCTACAAGAGAAAAAATCACCCGCAGAGAAGCCCATTTAAGCAATCTCTGGCCTACTTAGACGCAAGCAGAGCCTGTTGCTCTTCTTAAGAAATATTAAACATGTTAATTTCATTGTTGGTGCTTCCCCTGGAGCTGTCTGCCAGAGAGGAACTGCAGCAGGGCTAGGGAGATGCCATGTGTTTCCACATTGCTCCGCAACTGCCAGTAAGGAGACCTGATGCAACATGCCTCACATATGGCAATCACATTTTTTAGAACATGTTGGAGTTTCTAATGAAAAATAAATTCCCATATGATTTCTGTTATATAACACAGCATCCACACTATAAAGCAGGGAGAACAGGAACCCCGTCATCTGAAATCTGGAGACAGTGAAGGCATTTCTCCAGGAAACATCTACCTGCTCTGACAGGCTGCCTGAGAACCAGGTAGCCTGGCAAGGACTGGAAAGTCTGGCATTTCTGAGGGAGTGAAGTAAGTTTTCCAGAAACTTCCTCCCTACCTGTACAATTTATGGGCAGTAAGTCACACTTCTCAGCTAGAGATGTCTAACGCAGTAGAGGAGTGCAGGTTTGTCAGGACATTCGCAAATGACTATCTGCAGCTCCTAAGTAGGTGGGTGACCTTCAAGAACCTTCTCCTCCACACCCCTTCTTCCACTTCTTGGAGGCTTTGCTCTCATCTGCCAGGTTCATCTTATTGTTACACTGCCCCATTCATATATACTAAAGGAACATAGCTACAGCAAGTTATAATAAACTCTTCTGCTTTTTAAAAGCATATGCTTTTCTGCCTAATAGAGAATAACTGTTTATGTCATATAATGGTAAAATAGGTCAAACAGTTATCTTAAGAAGTATGATGAATCACACAATATTTAATTTTTTCAGCTCCTTCTGATTTAAAGCCCAGTCTTCCATGATGTCTCCTGATGTACTCAGATCTCTCTATATATATTACAAACACCTAGTTTACTTTTACTGATATGTCACTAAATCAAAATCTTCACAGCATTTGCAAGCTGGAAATGGTCATTTACCCACTTTAGTCTAGTGTATGTTCTAAGTATTAACAAATCAGATAATTTATGCTAAAAATACCTAGGTATCACTTTGATGTTAGCCCAGTGAGAGAGTTTGTCTCAACCTCAGAATGGCAAGACAACATGTTGGCGTGCCAGACTTTTGGTATCAAACATTAGCCACGAGCCCCAGTAGCTGTCAGCAGCTTAAAAGAGCGACCATGAAAAGCTGGCCAAAATTAGAATTTTCAATTTCTGCAACAAGGATATAACATTATATATTAAAAGAGAGAGAAAGTGACTCCACAGCTCTGCATTATGTTGGCTTTAAATCAAATCAAAACCTAGGAAGGCCTATTAGAAAGTAATTTTACTAGAACAGGTGAATTCATGAGAGAATTTTATCTTGGAAACTGGAATCATTTCAGCCCAGGGATAAATTCCTTGATTTTTACTTGACTCATTAACCCTATTCCTCAACCAAAATTCAGACATCCCAAGAATACACTTACCCTCATCTCTTTCACTGAATGATTTACCATTTCATTCTGTACTGATATCTGAACTTTTTAAAGTAAATTGAATCTGCATTTCCTATGTGCACTGCACAATGCAATGGAAGATTTGGTACTGCAGTATCTAATACCACTAAATGTGTTTTAAAATACCGGAAAACAGGCTCTGTAAATAATGACTGCCTCTGTGATTCTGCTCTCTTTTGCCTTGAAAAAAAATAACCCTGGTAGTCTGGTGGACTTGGCACATGTTAGATTTACAGTTGGACTTGATGACCTGAAAGGTCTTTTCCAACCTAAATGATTCTATGAATCATTAGCACATAGAAATTGAGTTTATAGAGATCTATTAAATGACACCCTGACCCTTATCTTGCCAGCAAGTTTTGAGCCCAAGTTGGTGCTTTTTCAGTATAACTTTATTTTAGTTTATTCAGCTTCCAAATATAGTACCATAAAGTTGAAGCCCACCAGGGACAAAAGACGCATCTCCCTGCCCTGAAAAGACATGCAGAGGTTAATCCTGTAGCTTCACAGTAACAACAAAGGATAACAGCAGCAGCCACATCATGAGAGATTCTGTTGGCACCCCTTATCAGAAACATAGCACGTTGATTGTGGATAAATACACAACAACCTGTCAGAGAGTAATTTGAAGATTAGTAGAACTCAAGTCCCTCTTTATCCCCAGTATGAATTGACCTTATTTACAGGTGTTCAGAATATGCTTTAACCAGACCATTACTGTAGTTAATTAGGTAGTTCCCTGAGCAGCAAAACTGATGAAAGGGGTTTTCAGAGGTTTTTTGAGCCTGGTTGTATTGCTGGATCCCAGGAAATGGAGACCCAGTGTCACGCTCTCCTCCGTGGCATCATAGTAAAAAAATTTTCTTCCTTGGGGACTCAATGTTGTTTAATGAGGCCTGAGTTCACTCTGCCCTGGAGGCATTTTCTCTCCATTGGAGTAAAACATGCTGACAGGGAAAAAAAAAACAAAAAAAAACCCCAACCCTGCAACCAATGAGTAATTCCCAAAACATCACAAGGCTTTGTTTATCAAGGTTTTAAATTACGACATTCCATCACAGCAGGTGATGGACAATAGTAGTTCATTAACTTTTTAGACAAATGCGCAATTGTTGGGCTACTTACAATAACTTTTAAATATTAATGCATATTTAAAATTTTTGTACCCGGTTTAATGCTACAGTTTGTAACCCTGATGTGTGGTACATCTGGAAAACAAATTTCTAACTAGAGCAAATTGCATTTTATTTAGTTTATCACCTACTTGTACAGCTTTCCTTTCAAATGAAAATTTGTTCACCTAAAAGGGAACAAAGCCTTCTCCACAATTTATCTTTCATAATGTGTAAACCATACAGTACACCATAATTTCAGCTGCTTCTTTTCAGAACAGAAATACAGATTTTGTTCAGTAAAGTGCAATACATATCACAGGTTTGTCTTCTGGATATTTCCATTACAGAAGAGAAAAGCTCATTTAACCTATGAGAAAAGGTTACTGGAGAACCTGGGAAAATTAAATCCTTGTACGGTCATCTCTAAAAAATTACAGTGCGCTGTTGATTTAGTGACATAAGAGACTTGCATGGGGTTCTTTGGAAGAAGGAGACGAATTGCTTATTTTAGGTCAACAGTATTTCTAGGAAATCCATGTTCT